CTCAAATCACCTTTCTTCCCCATACTGATGCTCGGTTTGAACTGCAGGAGATTGTCTTGACCATGTCTACATGCCTAAATGCAGTGAGTTGCCGCCATGTGATTGGCTGCTTAGAAATTAAGCGTTAACGAGCAGTTTATTAGGTGTACCTAATAAAGTGGCCGGTGAGTGTATTTCTTTTTTTTAATCAGTTTTCTTTTAAATAAATGCAAAGTATTGCAAAGTGTCGAATAGAACAGGTGAACCTGTGTTTTACTTGTTTCTTGGCTTTTATCTCTCTGTCCATTCGCCTGCAACTGTATCTGATAAAAGGGAACCTGAAAAACATCAGTGAACAGCTGGACATGGCTCTGAAATCAGTGGTACTAAATGAGTAGGTTATGTGTTTGTGTCCAAACAATGATGTTACCTGTCTGTCTGATGCTACAGATTAGAGAGGGGTGTCAGCTGCAAGCAGTAGGCTTAAGGCTCAGCACTGCATGGGGGCTGAGTGGAGGAGAACATGTCTTAGTTATATATTTTTCTGACATACTCTATGGCTTTTGACTTCATTTGAACTCATTTGTCAGACTGATGTACTAAAATACCTAGCAATGACCATAAATCAAGGTCTACCATTAAAGTTGTAGTTCAAGGGACAAACAGTGTATAGAAAAAGCAGTTAACAGCAGTGATTTAAGGAACACACCCCTGGTTAATAATTCTTTCAGTGTCCAGCGCACAGAAAGGTTTAGAGCGGTTTTCTTGCAGCACCACAGCAGAATCTTCTTAATGCATGTTTATTTTAAATGGTGTCACATAATGCATCACAGAAGTTAAAGATTAGACGTGCTGGAACGGGTTCTGATTTTGTCTGCTGGCCCTCAGGCCTAGACCAGCAAAGAATCAATCCAGTAGAATATAGTAAAGAAGTACATGGGGCCAGCATGACACCACAGCTTCACTCTGTTTTAGAAAGTAAGGGCCATAAGTTCTGATTAGATGAAGCTTATTGAAACAGGCCTATATAACACAGTCCAGATTCAAGCAGAAACATTGTTTTTGGTTCAAGAGCTACGTATCTGCTAGGCTCCTTCACAGCTGGTCAAGGTTTTCCCAAATAATCAACACCAAAATATCTCAGGAATACTGGAGACAGCAGATTTAGCAGGTTAGAACGATAATCTTATTGGTTTCCCTTGTCAATTAGATTACCTATTATTATAGATCTTTACAGTTTGATGATTTCTCCCCTGGACTATTGAAAAAAAGGCGGGGACAAGGAATTATCCAGATTAAATACATGGTTTTGAATAGTGGCATCTTCTGAGCCAGGTTTGGTCTTTGTTAAATCGATAAAGCCAAGATACACTGATCACACAAGATAAAGCCTGACCTTATCTCTCCTCCTGGTTTTCTAAATTCTGCCACTGATCATCTCTTTATGTATAAATTAACTTTGTGTCTTTGAATCTTTTCCAGGTGTGAAATAAAGGACTGAACAGGCAAAAAACAGGCAAAAAAGAAAAATATAAAATAAAAATGTCTAAAATATAGCTAAAAATTCAGTGACAATTAAAGAAGCTTATTAACAATAAAAATAGTTTTAGTTGAACCGAAATAAAATTCAGAAATCATTGTGGGTTTTAGGATTTAGTCTGACCAAAAACATGGGGAAATTGGTTAGTTTCACTAAGTAGATAGTGAGTGAACAATTTTTTCTGTGACTTTAAAAGTAACATTTAACAGACACATGAGTGGAATCTGTCTATGGTTAAAAAATAAAAAAAGAGAGAACATCACCAACTGTATAATTGATTTAATTTAGTTTCTCTTTATCCTTTACTATGGCTGCCTCCATTCATTTATTTACATTCTTTAAAAAACCCAGCCTGAAGGCAATGGACTACAATATGGTTATTAATATAAAATGAAAGTATTTTAAATAAATTCTGCTATTGTGTCAACCATTCCCGGGCTCAGTTAGGCCCCCAGTATTTACATTTTCAACTTCTCTGCATATGGATAACATAAACTTGATTTGATTCAGTGCAAACATAAAAAAAACTGTCTAAAATTATATTTAAAAAAAAGGTAAAAAAAATTACACCCTGAAAGATAAGTTTATGTTAGTCTGAGAGCTTTCACAGCAAAACACCTCTCACATGTGGCTAGTCAGACTGCCTATTTTATGGTAAAACATAAACATTATCCTTTTGAAAGTATCTAAAACTAAGGTATACTAAATTTTAATTAGGAATTATTAACATTTAGATATCTGGAATTCTAATTTACCTAGTCATAAAATAAGTAATTGCATTTGTAGTCGCAAATATTTAGATGTCAAGAATTGTATTTCTAAATGTCTCTAATGTTATAATCATTTTTTGATATCCAAAATAGTAATTATGACTAGCAGTAACTCTATTATTGAGATCTGAAATTAGAATTCATGCTAGTCAGAATTCATTTTAGATAGGAAGAATGTTTATTTTAAATATCTGGAAGTAAAAGCTCAATACACATAATTAGGAAACGTGACGTTATTTGTACTAGTAAGAATTACATTTCAGATATCTGAAATGTTTGTTTAAGATAGGAAGAATGTTATTTTAGATATCTTAAATTTTCATTTTGACTAGGAAGAAATGCATTTCAGGCATCTGAAATATATATTCGATCTGGCTAATAAATGCAAAAATGGCCTGCCATATCCCCACCCCTCCGTACTGCAAAACAACTGCGCCCAATGGACGTACTTTTGGACGTAATCACGTACACTTTACGTACTCCCCCCTCCTCGCTGTAGGAGAGAGGAGTTTCCGCTAAGATGGTTGTTGGTGCCTTCCCTATCGCGAAGCTCCTCTACCTCGGAGTGAGGCAGATGAGCAAACCTGTGGCCAATCGTATAAAAGCTGGGGCCCGTAGCAGCGAGTTCTTTAAAAACTACATCTGCTTGCCGCCGGCGCAGCGTGAGTAACCGAGCTAACTGCTCTTTATTATAATGAACTTCACTGACACTGAGATAGAGCAGGTAAAGCTGGTTTAACCAATAGCGTCTGTCCTGACGCAGGGAAGCAGCCAATCACTTTTAAGGATTTTTCTGTTCGACGAATCGGAGCCAAGCGATCCTGACAGTGGGTGGAGCTTATCTTGTCATTGAACAGGCTTGCTATGAGGACATGGCAGGACAAGATCATTACTAGCTACAAACTTAAACGGAGTCTAATTTAAAAACGAATAAAATATAATTACTTAATCTGCGTTATTTCTATGAAACATTGGATGTGAATTGGTTTATAAAAGAGCTGCTTCAATATATAGAAACCCCACTGGCTTTATACTAGCTACACTGTATTTTAATGTTAGCATAGTTTGCTACTTCCTAGCCTTAAAATTTAATTGATTTTTGGGGATTTCATGTGTTTGAATTAAACAAGTCTCTTTGAAACACTGTTGTAAAGTGGCACAAAAATAGTGTGCACAAGTAGAAATCTAAAAAGTGAACGTATTTGTAATCCAGTTGTTTATTACTGATTATTAATTTACTTATTTTTCAAAATAAATCCACTGCATCCAAACACTTTTCAGGTCACCTTATTAGATAATAGAACCTGTCAATATAAATTTAGCTGCTGTGTGAGGGCCCCAGAGGGATGTCAGAAACTTCTTGTGAGCAAACAGCCTCATGAGACCCAAACAACACAGAAGACAGGCAGCAGATAAAGATGTTCAGATAGCAGAGTAATAAACAAATTCATTCTTTGAATATTTCACAGAATAATTCTCAGACCATATGCTAAAGAAAAGCATGCAAACCACTTCTCACCAAGAGTGAGCTGTCCAACTAACCCAGACACAGATAGCAGCCAAGAAGTTCATGGGAAGTCTGGAGGAGCTGCAAATGGCCGCAACTCAGTTACACAAATCTGTTGAATGGAAAGAGAAAAAAACAAGTTGGTATAGGAAAAACTATGGCAACACTTAAAGGCCTTCAGCAATCTTTTGGTACTAACAGTGTTTACTAATCTGGCCTTAATTGATAACTGGAAAAAAAAAAGAACTACTGTGCTACAATAACAGAACTTCTATTGCTCCATTTTCACAACATTAAATAAAAGAACATAACAGATTCTACCTTATTTGGACAGCCATTGATATCAAGGACAAAATACATCAACTGACAAAAATTGAAATCTGATATTTTCATTTGATATTATACGTTGAGATGTGATCTCATGTTGGGTCACATTCCTATCCCTGCATGATTCCTCACACACGGCCCTATCTTAATCTGAACTGTTGTGTGTTTTCCTCACAGTTTATCACTGGATTGAGATGAGAACGAAGATGCGTATTATGGGCTTCAGGGGTGCCACTGTCAAGCCCTTGAATGAGGATGCTGCAGCAGAGCTGGGTGCAGAGCTGCTGGGCGAGGCAATTATATTCTTAATTGGCGGTGGATGTATGGTGTTGGAGTACAGCAGGCAGGCTGCCAATTCTCGCCGAAAGGAGGAGGAGCTAAACGAGACCATCGTAGGCTTACAGACTCAGATAGCAGAGTTGTCACTAACAACGGAGACTCTCGGCGCTCAATTGAGAGAGGTCAACAGGCTGCTGCTCTCCCTCCCTGCTCCCACCAAAAAGTGACTTGATGTTCTCTGTGCAGCGTGCTGTTGGCCTGTGTGTGAAGGAGTCAAAATGTACCAAAATATCAGTCACATGTACAGCTTGATTCTACCTTATCCTAAACACTGGGAGGGTTGGACCTCTGTGCACTGTGGAGCTATCATTTGCTCATTTTGAGCAACTAGTTGTAAAAAAAAAAAAAAAGAAAAAAAAGCATTGCTATGATATTCATAGTGAATTTCTATGGTTGAAATTGCATGTTAATTACAATATTAATACAAGGATGTACAGCACCACTCTACCTTAAAGTTAATATATTGTTTGTAGCTCCTGTGATCCATTGATTCTGATGGTAGGGAATTATTTGGAAACTGCTTGTTTTTCATGTTTAATTGGCCTGAGTGAGTATTAATCCTACAGTTCATGAGCCCAGAAAAACAGACAAAACAAGCATCCAATCATATCAAGACATTATTTTCTGGGAGCATCTCCTCGTACAATTTCAAAGAGATTCTAGTTGTGATTGCTGGCTTCTTTTTGTAATTGTTGCTGTAAAAATGAAGGTGTAAAATAAAGTCTCTTCGTTTGCATTTAGTCGTCTTTTCAGCATTTGTGATATGTTGTTAGGCATTGGAACAACTTCGCAAACAGACTACTTTAGAAATTTACCAAAATGTTAGTTATCTAACAAATAACATAAAAGCATTATTTATAATATTGGGTCAAAAATAAATGTTCTTTTAAAAGCACAAAAACGACATAGATACCTAATGTTATGTAATATTATGCAGTTTTTTCCACAAACATTTAATAACACATACAGATTCTATTTTTCATGAGAAGTTTAAACAGGTGCAGTTTATTCTTAACATACAGTTTTATTTTTACTACAAATGCAGGTTATTTTTTCATATGAATTGCATATTTGTATAGAATAAAATAGAAAATCCCATTATGGTCCCACAATGAGGTAATTCTGGTGGTTACAGCAACAAAAAGATTGTAGAAAAAATGGTCACACAAATGTGGACCTTAGAAAATGTATAAGAAAAACATAATAGTAAAGAGTTAAAAGATAAACAATAAAATACTTTACTGTAAAGTGTTTTAACAATATAAAATATACAGTTCTATTCTGGTGATATTTTCACAATTTTTCTACAGATACAAGCTAAGAATCATTATTATGCATTCTATTGTAAGATTGCAGTAGTATATATATATATATATATATATGATTTTGAAAGCGTCTAAGGTGCCAACACTTTTAAGTGTATTAGAGATTTTATATCTCTAATACACTTAAAAGTGTTGGCACCCTAGATGCTTTCAAAATCACAGTCCTTTTATACAAGCAGCTAACCCCACTTAAAGAACATGCTAAGGATAACATTTGGAGTTTTAGCTTCAGCTGCATATTTAAGCATATTTCTCAGGAAGATTTGTAGAGTTCTATTATATCATTTGATTCTGATTCTGATGTTGACCTAACTTAAAAAAATGCAGTGCACAATTACTCTAAAGTTTCGGGTCTAGTAAATGCAAAAAAAAAAAAAAAAGATTCTTGTTAGCCAAGTTTATCTGTTCCAAATCCAATTTAAATGTGTTTGGATGTGTAGTGTTATTGGTTCACCCTGTGGTGTCCAAGTAAGCAGTCTAGCTGTTACTGAAGCTGAAATACACTGCAAAAACAATATAGAAATAAGTAAAAATGTCTTAAGTGTATTCACCCTTAATTTGAGTAGGTAAATGAAATGGTTTGCCAATGGAATGAGTAATTTTGTACTTAAAATAAGATAATTGGATAAAATGCAACTGATATAAAACAATGCAATTGTGTTTTCTTATTTTAAGTGTAAACTGTCTTGTTCCATTGGCAAAATTTCTGTTTTACCTCCTTAATCCAAGAACAAAGTGCCAGCCAAGCACTTATTTTAAGATAAAAATAATGTATCTAGATTTAGATTTTTTGCAGTGTAATCAAATGATATTCCTCCTCATGTATGGTTTCATCCAGTGGAAAAAAATAAACACCCAGCATGTTGTTGTCACCACCATGCATTACATTGAAACTTAACATTGTTTTCTTCCAGTTGTTAATATTTATATTGTTTTTTATGTTATACAATAAAATCTTTCACTAGAAGATATTTGGTTTGCAAGTTGAACTGAGGGTTCTTCCAAAAATAATTTTTCAAACACCCAGGAAAATATGTTATCAGTAAGCATATATGTTTAGATATCAAAACATCTATGATTTGTATGCAACTTTCCAATGGACAAGCACACATTAGTGTGTGTGTGTGTGTGTGGGGGGGGGGGGTTAATATTATTTCTTTGTGTAAAATACAAAATATAAATTTCACATTTGTGACAGTTGTGACAACAGCTGTTGTAAAAATGTTCTTCCTACTTTAATTTCCCCCCCAAAACTTTATCCTCTTTTATTGACACAAACGGACTAAAATCAGGACCATACAAGTTTCTACCGTTTCAGAATTTAAGGATAGCTTTTCTTTTAGAAGTACTATCAATGTGCATTTTTCACCCGATAATGTCAATGACAATGCCTTGCAGAGCTGGCAGCTTTGTCTAAAGAGTGACATCTTCTTAAAATTGCACCAATTAAAAAACTTAATCTGTGTGTAAATTACTATTTCAGATTTGTCGAAGATGACCTTGAAATTTCAAGAAAAGAAACTACCTTTTAGTGTTATAGCATGCAACATTTTAAGAAGGTGTATCTCAAAGGAAAGAAGGGGCAGTTATTTTTCGAAATTTGAGAAAAAACTCATCAAGTTTACAATGTAGAGGTTTATAGAACCTATAGACCCATGTCTGTTTTGCATCACAGATTTCCAATGAAAATATCAGCTTATGAAAACTTATTTAGATGTGGTTTCGCCATATTGTTATGGTTCACAAACCAAACGGAGAATGTAAAGAACCAAAGTCCACAACCACACCTGTTTGTTTCCCAATGCGCCTGCACTGATATTTCTCCCCGGGTTTGTCAGTGGCACTAGTTGTATCAAATCATAGAGCTAGTGATAATTGGTTTGTTTATACAGGAGAGCTATTGGCATTAATGCTGGCACTACAGTGGGTAGAAGGAACAAAGCCAATATCAGTTATTGTTTCAGGTTCTAGCAGTGCTCTGATTAGTATTCAGGACATTTATTTAGAATCTAGACCAAATATAATTTTTGATATTGTTCACAGTGTTACCAGAATAAAAAGACATAGGGTGGGGGTTACTTTGTTATTGGTTCCAGCACACATAGAAGTGGAGGGGAATGAGCTGGAAGATTTCTATGCTAAAAAGTAGCACAAAAAACTAGTGGATATTAGCATTAAATATGGTAAAGCAGAAATATAATCTATAGTAAAAAGTTGGCAAGTGAAGATATGGCAGGAAGAATGAGACAGAGAACTTAAAGTAAGACATTTATAGAGAGTTCGAAAGAAGGTCAATCAAGTAAGGAAGACAAGTAGAAATAAAAGAGGATATTATAACAAGATGGAGACCTGGACACACATGACTTAATATTACACTCCATATAATAGGGAAACATGTAACAGGGAACTGTGATTATTGTGACGAGCTGGAAGATATAGAGCATGTGCTGATTCACTGTGGACAATATAAACAATGGAGAGATATACTTTGGAATAAATTTGATCAATAGAATGTACAGTTTAGTGTTTTCAGTTCACTGCAATTAGATGCATGTTTTATTTAAGGATGTTTTTTCTTTTTTCCTTTTTTTTGGAAAACAGGTTTTTATTATATAATGTAGGGCGATTTTAAAATTCTGATCCTCACTCCTATTCAGAAGGTGGAGGTACTGCGCACCTAAACCTTCCTTGCCAACCGCCATTAAACAAAAGAAGAAGAAAATCATTAAGTAGTAGGCGGCGCCAGGGGACTCCTACTACTGCGATGAAGGTAAGCTTCATGTTTACTTTTAATCATATTCCTTTTCATAGCTGCATTACAACTCATATATACGACGCAGTAGCTGCATTATCTGTATGAAAAAGCAGTGTGACATACAGGAAGTTTATATATATCAGGGTAAATGGCATTTGTTTTGAATCTATTGGCGGCAAATGAGCTAATGTTAGGCTTTGGGGATGCTTGGTGCAGAGCAACTTATAGGTGGGCGCGTCGTTTCAAGAAAGTTATTTGACCTAACCTCATAAACCAGACTAAATGTGAGATTAAATGTGTAATTTAGTTTGAGACATCGGAAGATTGTTGAAGAGAACAACCCGTTGTTATGTTATATTTATGTTTATATTAGTGTATGTATGTATGTGTGTGTGTGTGTGTGTGTGTGTGTGTGTATATATATATATATATATATATATATATATAATTTTTTTGTAACTTTTTTTCAAGGTTGCACTTTTAAAAAGAGGAAATTGTCCAGAGGGCTGTTCCAAACGACATTTGAGCTCCCACCAAAATTTAAAGAAATACATTTCAAAACTCCCCCCTCAAATGAGCTTATCAGAAATAGATTATTTTAATGTGGTAACTGCTATATGTGTAACGAAAGCGAAACAACAGAACACACTTTCTTTCTCTGTCAACATATCAAAAAATTGTTGGAATCTTTGCACACTCTGCTGACTAGTAAACTCATAAAAATAGCCCCCTTCTCATCACAAACTGTCTTATATGGCTTTTTATCTGAAAGCAAAAGAGATGAATATCTTATTAATAGCATTATCATCACTTTAAAATGTTATATACATAAATGCAAATTTGGAAAAGCTATGTTGATATGGTCTGTATTTAAACAGGAGATTCATCTTCTAAATCTTTCCTTGGACAAAATTTAGAAACCAAAAGCAAAAAGTTTGTCATATCACCTCTCTAATTTATTTCAGCCCTCCATTGATAGAAATTAAAGAATAATGCTTACTTGGCTTTTTTTATTTATTAATTTTTTGTATTTTTTAATTATTTTTATTTATTCATTTATCTTTCATTATAATTATGTTATATATTCAACATGTAATTATAGATATTTTTGGATTTCGATTTTTTTCTCTTTCTGAAGTGTATTGCATAAACTAAACATCTGTTTACATCGCAACTTGAAAGAAAAGACAAAAATATTAAGAAAAGTGTTAGGAGGTATGATTGACTATTTGTTGTGCTTTATTATACTCTATTGTTTGAGTTTGTCATTGTTACTGTTCCAAATAAAGTTATATATAAAAAAAAAGTTTTCTTGCAAACCGCTGTCTGTGCCTACTGGCCAACGCTCTGACCAGTAGGGCTCGGGATCCACGTTGCATTGTGGGACGTTGCGGTCATATTGACGGCTACGCAAACGTAAACATAGCTCTGATACAACGTTGCTGTTGAAAGAAGAGATGTAGAAGTAGAGAGAAAAAAGATGTCAAAATCCCGAAAAAGATCTGGAATTTACCAGGACACATTAAATAGAGAAGCCATGGACCGGTAT